ACATAGCATGGATATGTCGACCTCTGAGTTTATAAGTACAAATGCAACTACAATTTCTAAATTTCTATTTTGTTTACCAGGTTTTATCCTATGATCAACTTCTTGAGCAGCTTGATCTTTCAAATGTGCGCGAACTTGAAGACTTTCTTATCAACGAATGCATGTATGCGGTAGGTGCAAATCATTAATGGGAAAAATATGTCAAATTCATTTGGTATCAAAGATTTGTTATGTGTTCTTATCTATGAGACGATTTCTTTAGACCAGTAAAAAAGAGATACTAAAAAGGTCGCCAGCCGACAAGGCTAATATTTCATTGTCTTATGTATAGGGCATAGTCAAAGGGAAGCTGGATCATTTGAGAAGATCTTTTGAGGTTGAATAGTTTCCCTTAATTATATTTGCTCTTTAGATAATTTCCTGGATACATGTTTTGAACTCAGTGTTTAATCTTGACCATCATTTTCTTTCCAGGTTCAATTTGCAGCTGGCAGGGATTTGAGGCCTGGACAACTAGGGAATATAATACAGACTTTAGATGATTGGTATGTATACTTCTGTTTCTTGTTGGACATTCCATGTCTAAGGCCTTTCAACCGTGTTAGTTAAGGCTGGCAATTTTCACACTCCCATTTTGTTTATTTGCACTCCTCCCCTTATTTTTGTCCTTTCATTCTCCTTTGATTTATTCAACTATCGAAGCATGGAAATAAGAGAAGGGGTGTAAATGGATAAAATGGGAGAGTGAAAACACCATCTTAAAATTCCCTCTCCAACTCAAATCCTTTTTGTTATGTTAGGCACCTTCTTACTTATGCCTTGCCTGGTGTCTGTACCCCGGGATGGTGGTATAAATAATGTTACCGCCATCCTGCAGCATCTCTTTCTATCTTTTAATTTATAGGCCATCTGTTGCTATGAAATCTCTGTACATACCCATAAAGAAATCTCTTTACATAGATGATATTTTACAGTAATTTTTTGGAAAAAAAAAAAAAAAAATCAGGTTAAACACTACAGACAATGTTCTTCTCACAATTGAGGAGAAGATCAAATGGGCAGATAAAAAGTGTGCGTTGAATACAATACACCAAAAGCAAAAGGCAGTCAAGGACAAGGTGGAAGAAGTAAAGAAGTCTCTTTTTAACAGGGTAAGTTGAATCTACTTCATCAACCTATGTAATTATGATTTTGTTTTGAGTTATCGTTATACACATCTGTCCTACCAAATTTGCAAACCAATTTATATTAGATGCCTTTGTAGAGTGAGCATGCATTGGTTGGCTTTTCATTTCCAAATTTTGGACCTCCATCCTTTTCATGTCAAGGAGACATTTATCTTTTGCTTAGTGTGGAAGAGCTTTTATCAAACTTGTCAGCATGCTAGGACCAAGATGCATTAAAATCATGAAGCTTGAACATGTCAAAATTCACACTTCCCAAATAAGAGGGGAAGCAATTGAAATTTTCTCATATTAAATCCTAAGGATTCCTAGTTATCAAATCCCAGTTTCTGTCCCTTTTAAGCTATTTACTTCCGTATCAAAAGCTGTGAAAAATAAGGGTTCCTACTCTAGTGCTCCTCAAAAGCTCAGTAAACTAAATAGGAAAGAGTATTTTTCATGTACTTCCGAAATGGCACGGGCTTTACCTCATTGGATCATTCAACCTTAGAACTAGTTTTTCTTATTCTACTTATCTTTTCAAAAAAGTTATTTAAAATGTGTTTAATGATTTCACTCAAAAAACTCTGCGCATGAGAGAATTTTTCTTGGTTGTGATACTGGTATATTGGTCAACATGTTTTACTTACATGGCAAAGTTTGCGCTTTAAGCAGGGTGGGCGTGACTTCCAAGCACTTGATGACGTCCTGTTTGGTGAAACAGCGGGGTTAATGGACTATGAAGAAGATCGCACCCGAACCAAGAGGTATTACAATTCAGATATCTCTTACACCAAATCATGTGTGTTAATCATATCTTCCCCCCTTGAAAAATCAATTTTAATTTTATGCTAAGTCATCCTTTGTATTAATTACGATGAACCTTCAAAGTCATGTGTGTTAGTTACCATGGTCTCGTTGACAATATGAGGGCATCTGTAATTGTTGGTTCAGGCTAGTATATACTGTATGCATTGAATCCAAAATCATTCCCATTTAATCTCATGAAATTCAATATTGCAGGAGAAGGTCGCCAATATATTGAGAAGTGCAGGGAGGGTGGATCCGTTTGATGTCTTTTAAATGACGTTCTGGTTATTTTTTTCAGGGCATATTGCAATCATAAGATATAACTCCTGATTGAGTTTAATCTTAGTCGTTGTTTCAATTGAACCATGGAGAAGAAATCAAACGTTTCCGTGTTTTGTTGCTCAACGGTGGTGCTATTGCAAGAAAACTTGCCCACAGACATTTCGAAGATTGACGTGTATTATAAAGCTTATACCATATAACTGAAGTATCTCAAATTAGTAATGTTGTATTCACTTTCATAGGGTTGTGATTTTGGTTTTCAGATTGGTTTTTTCATATAACATTTAAGGGGTCATCGAAAGAATTTTCAATCCCTCTTACATGGAATGCTATATATTGCTCCTCGTGAATGATTTTCATGTTCTCTCATGGGAAATGGTTCCAGTTGAGACTGCTTTCAATTTTGACAACCAGTGCAGATTGGGCACACTTGAATCTGACTGTCCTGAATCCATTGTATAAACGAATGGACACCCCGAACAATTACTTAGCAGGCCCAAACCTAAATCACTCCACCATTCACAATTACTGGATTATCACGGGTACTCATTGGTTCCATACTAGGCCCACTGAACATTTCTGTGTGAGTCACCCTAAACTTTTAGTACATGTCAAGTTGCAATACACACACTACCAACGGGATTTAGCTTAGTGAAAAATGATATTGATTTACAGATAAATGGTCTCAGGTTATGATGACCATGTACGTTGCTGCACTTGGAAGCTCTCGAGGTTAGCAGAAGGGAAACATGTTTGCTTCAATGGAAACATGTATTTTTCCTTGCATATGAACATTGTTTCAAAGCTTCTGTCACAAAATGTGTCCTTACCCACAAAAACAAAAAGATGGATACATTTGTTAGCAAGTAGGGAAGAAGAACATTAATTGCCTCGGAAAGACTAAAAACACATAAGCATGAGCCTAAATGAGAGATATTTGAATGGTTGTAATGTTGGAAGAAGAAGAAGAAAGCAACAAATTCGAAGTTGGAAGAGTCGTCGATCGCATTGCTGTCTGGATTTGATTCTAATTTCTGATGAAAATGGCTCAAGTTGAATATTATTATTAACAAAGTCTTAAGGTCAAAATGTTTGAAAGCCTGCGGTTCCTGTTGTTGTTGCTCGCATGGACCGTACAACTCTATTTTCTTTTATTTTAATTTAAGCCGTTTTGGCGCCCCTCGTGCGTTGAGTTTTATTTATTGTGTGCTTGACATGAACCCCGTTTTTCTTCTCTCTCTCTCTCTCTCTCTCTCTCTCTCTCTCTCTCTCTGTGCTAATATCTTTGAAAGATCTCAGTTCCAGGAAGAAAAAAAAAAAATTAATAAATATATTAACGGGGTCTAAATAAAAAAGGACCTTCATTTATAAAGCAATAGTCTCAAGTCCGAACCTTAATTGATAGTAGAAAATGTCATGACCCAACAAATGAAAAATGTCAACTTCAACCAAAAGGGAACGAATGTGCACATGCACACGTGTGTAGGAAGCATGTCTTAATATGGTCAGAAAGGAATTATATGTACATGTAACTTTTTATTTTGCTGGATTATATGTGTAATTTAACAATATATTTGTGAAGATTTAGCCTGGCAAAGAGATAAGTATTGATATGTGTGTGTGTTTTTGTGCGGGATTTAAGTTACCTGTTTTATTTACAGATCTTGGCAATCAATTTGAGCTCAAATGGTTAAAAAAATTACCTCTGCATCCGAGGTTTTGTGTCCGAATTTCCATCTTTCGATATCGTTTGTGTCAAAAACTAATAATAAATCAGAGGTCCCTATACCAGATTAATGTTTGTTTTAGTGAACAAATAGGAGGGCTTATTCTATTAATTTGGGGAGTTGAAAAGTTCCGATTGCAGAGAGAAGAAAATCAAATTTCAAAGCACAACAACAGCTGTGTGTACGCGAGATAATAGACCATCTGAATAGCTAAGACACAACTTGCCAAAGTGCATGTTTTAGTCAAAGATAAATACATGACGGCTTAAAATACGAATTGGGAGTGTTGGAGGCGTCGAAAGAGAAAAAACTTGACCATTTAGGAATTTAGGACGAAACCTCCCTCCCATAGTGTTTGTTTTAGGTAACACTATGTCGAAGTGAAAAGCATTTACCGTTAAAATCAATGCTGATCATAAATTCGTACATTTAAAGTGGTTACAAGTCATACTCATTTCTCACTTGTGGTCGTATTTAATTCCGTGTCCGCTTTCTTTCCAAATATCTCAACTAGAACAAATTTTGCAAGTTGTATCCAAAATGTGCATTCCAAGGCCAAAAGAAAAGACACCAAGATGATTGCAATGCTTGCCACTAATTTGTTCTTGTAAACAAAAAGGGGAATAACTCCACTTCAAAATTGAGTTCATCAAACAATCCACAATAAAAAGCAGCCTCTCTTAGCTCATCCATCATCAACAATCCCCCTTTTATTTTCTTTTTCTGTCTCACTTTTGAAAATAAATAAATTTTAAAAAAAATTTGGCTTTTCCCTCACAAGTTAGCCTCCAAAATCATGGGAACCCCAAAATGAAAAACGGAAATCCTACATTTCCTTTTATATATATATATATATATATATATATATATATATATATCTCTCATATATATAGAGTGCGCCCCCCACA